AATAAAAAAGAATTCAAACCTGTGTAAGTATTAGAAAGCAATGCATTCCTGCAATGTCAACCAATTTAACGTACCAGTTTTATCATCAACACCCTCTGAAGGTTTGACATTCTCAAAGACTGAAGATTCTTCAACTACCTCCTTCTTAGGTGTGAGAAGTGGTGGTGGGGAGCGTGAGGGAGCCGGTGTAGATGAAGATACTTCATCATCTGCATGTCCATTCACTTCAATCTCTTTCTTAACCTCAAGTAAACCCTCTTTCGAAACTTCTTTTGACAGTTCGTTAGTGTTGTCCGAAACAGATTCCTTCCTGGTTATGCTAGGAGATTTGCTGTGCCTGGAACGTTTCTTTGGCTTTTGCTCATCTCCGCTGTCCATATCACTACTCCTGGTTCGATGCTTCTTCTTTGGCTTGTGCTTCCTCTCTTTCCGCTTTTCATGTTCATTATCTGACTCTGAACTGTAACCGATAGAACTATTGTCCTGTTCTCCACTCAGTCTTCGTTTACTTCGGCTTTTTTTCTTATGCTTTTTCTCTTTCTTATGCTTTTTTCTGTGTTTCTTGACCTTAGTTTCATTATCAGTATCACCCTCAGATGCAATGATAGACTTTGGAGGTTCAGCATTGAACGCTCCAAATAATTCTGTTAAAATTTCATTCGACGACTTCTGTGGAACATTACTAGTACTTTCGTCTTTGGTAGTGATAGCAATGTTCCACAGATCCTCAGCCGGAGCAGTGCTGGAGACTTGATCTTCCACTGCTGCCATTGGGTCTGACTTTTAGCCTAGGCAATGCTGGGCTGTGCAGATACCAGATATAACGGCGCACAAACTACACCACCAACTGGAGCATGGAGCTCTATCCAACGGTGTAGGCGCGTAAACAACCAATAACACGAACACTGGCATCACTTCCAGCACCAAACAACGCAGATTCTCATTGCTTACCGGTTTGGATTTGGATCAGTTAGGTTATCTTGGAGTCCACGTACATCTCGCACGGATGGGCCAAATTTTTGAGTTTATGGGAAACGAACCAAGAAACAGTGTGCTCCAGTGAGCAGGAGAACGAGCCTTTCTTATCAGTGTACCGAAGTGCTAATTATTCGGTCGTATACAAAACACATGATCCAAAGGTGCTCACAACCAACTCACAACACACGATTCACGATTGTGATTGTAAACTAA